ATCATGATTTTAAGCAATCGCAAAAAGATTAACATAGCTTTCTATGACTTAATTTATCAAGTACACGCTTAAGGAACTACCATACAGTTTATAATTTTGGTGTGATGGTTGGGTAGGGAGAAGGGATGTACCCCAGTGTTGTCTTTGCTGCAAATGATTCAAGTTAAAAAGACCAAGTAGGTAAATTTGGGATGGGACAAAAATGAGCTCAGGGAGACTCAGAAGACATGTCAGGCCACGTGTCGCTTGCATTAAGAAATATTTAGTTATAGCTTTTGTGGAGGGTAGAATTGATTTCTATACTCAAAGCTGGCATATAGTTTGGCAGGACATGTTTGATTTGGTGAGGTCTGCATTCTGTCTCCTTAGTCAAGAATTTCTCTTCCTTCAGTCACCACAGCTTAAATGTTACAGAAGCCTGTAGACTGCAATCTTGAGAAGTTGTCTTTATGGCAGGCAACGTAATAATTCCAGTTTCCAGTTTTGCCTAGGCAATGAACTGGGGGCTGTAAAGTGAAGTCACCCATGGTGAACATCCAAACTTCTCCAAGAAACCTGGGGTTGTAGCTCAGGGGTAGCAAGCTTGCCCAGTATGCAGAAGACCCAGGGTTCAAGCTCCATTCCTGACTGAAAAGATCTTTTCTACCATCCATGTGCAAGTAAAGACTGTGGCTGGTGTATGTCAATGTCGGAAAAATAAATCGAACAGAAATAGCATAGCAAATGTCATTGGGAATGGAGGCATCACACCATAGCAAATGTAAACGCATTGATAAGTACCATGTAGTGTCAGGAGCTAGTTCATATCTATATGTAATTATACTTTCCCTGGCACGTTGACTCCTTCACATCTGAAACGCTACCACTGTTCTCGTGTTAAATTATATTTAGTTTTTACGTAGCAAGGATTATCAGAAAAGATTTAAATCAATTGGCTTTTCTCGAATGCATCTATCTATGTTGCAAATAGACTGAATAAAATTAAGTAATACAAAGTATCTTTGGTGATAATTTCTCCTGTGGGTTTGCATAATTCTGGTCTTTACCTACAAGAATAAGAGAAAGCAAATATTGAGTATATTACCACACAAAAATGAAATAGGACGAGGTGTTTGCTGTCTGTTCATTGATAAATCCACATGGCAGTTATTGAGCAGTGTATGGAGTGCTTAGTATGTGGGAATGAATAAGTGATCCTTGCCTCTAGGAATATTCAACCTGAGTTTATAGTAAAACAAACTAAAATTTTAGTGAACATTTGACCTGGGGCCTGGCATAGTGTAGTACACACTTGTAATCCCAGAGCTTGGCAGAGGGTGGCCGGAATTCAAGGTTATTCTTGGCTACATAGAGTTCAAAGCTACCTGGGCAAAGAAAAGAAGGAAAGAGAGAGAGGTAGGGGAGAGGAAAGGAAAAGGAAGCCAAGAAAGAAAAAGAAAAGGAATAATTGATCCAAACTTCTCTGAGTTTCATTTTGGGTGAATGTGTTTGAGCATCTTAAAAAGCAAACATGGTAAGCATTTCCAGACACTCATGGCCACCTCTGACCAGTTATGACTGAGTCTTAGGGTTCCTGTCCACCATCAGATGCTCTGAGCCTTGTCTGCCCACTATCTTTCAGCCTGTTCCCTGCAGCTCTAAAATTAACTAAGGTTAATGGGTTTGTGTTTGCTTTCTTGGCTCTTTTGTCAGAAGCCAGAAAGCAGTGGAAATCTAATGTTCCTTCCTCCACTCTCTTGATGAAACATCAAAGGTCTTATCCAGAGATGTGACAGAGACTGCATGGTGGAGCTGTGTGCAGAATGACCCAGAGGCCAGAAGCCAGCCTCAACCATGTACCATGGTGGCTGTGCAGCTTTACTATGGCAACATAGCCAGTGGCAGACTGCGGGTCCAGTCTTGAGTGGTACTGCATACATGAGTGCATACAACTGTTAGTGATTGCATGTCAGCAGCTTCATACAACTGACAAAATAAAAACTTCATAAAAGGTATTAAAAACTTGTCAGGTAAATACTCAAGTTTCCTTGACCTCCAGTACATCTCCCAGTGTTGAGTTGTTGGTGTCTCAAGAGTCTTTGCAGAGGTCCCATCAGGGTACCACTGCCAACTTCTTCTCACATCCAAATGTAAGTATTTTCTTTAGACAATGGAGTATTTGAACGTATTCAGTTTACACAGTGCATATGGAAAGCTGGTGACAGTGTTTGTTGCCACTTTACAAAATAATAACACAGCAGAAGAAAGATATGGAGCAGTAACCCACAAGAATGTAAATAGTGATGTCTAGGGTGGAGTGACATGGATATCATGTAGCCAACTCTGCACCGTGTGACAATAAGAGAGCATGTGATCTTTTCACGATAAGGATCAGCGTTTTACATTGAATAAACAACTAAGTATGTGCTTCTGTGCACAGGGTTGTCATTTGTTTAGTCTTTGAGAATCGTGACCTAAGTCATCTCTCTATCTTTCAGGTGATTTCAAGTTAAAGTAGAAATAAACACCTAGAGGGAAATAGTTTCTATTCATGAGTTCATCAGATAAATCAGGAGGACAGCAAGCATTGTGGTGAACTGTGCATGTTGTGTTGATAATTAGAGAACTCTTGACTAAACTCAGTACCATTTGCAGTCCCCACTTGGCAATAGGAGTTTTTTGTGTTCTCAGTAGTCAAAGCTCCTGGCTTCTACACTGAAGAAGGAAAACCACACATGCATATAGTGATGCAGGTTGGTGGGTACATTGCACTCACTCAGCCAGAGCAACTGATACGGTATTCCTAGTGGAGTATAAATCCTAGTGTCATTGGTTGGTTGATTCTAAGTTTCTCTGAATGTGTTTTTTGGTAGAAATTGTTGCATGCTGACTTAATAAATTTTATCTCTAGGATATTACTTACAAAGATTAGAAATATTACAGAAATCTGAGTATCCAAATTACAGGAGTGGTTAAAGATAGATGCTTAAGATGGTGGCGTGTTCCCCATCAAGTAGCTGAAAGTTTTGAAGACTAGTTATAGCATTTCTTTACAATAAGACATTAAGACTGGAGAGATGGCTCAGTGGTTAAGAGTACTTGGGTACTTTTGCAGAGGACCCAGGTTCACTTTCCAGTACCCACATGGTGGCCCACAACCATCTATAACTCCCTGAAAGGGATCTTCTGACCTCTGTAGGCACCAAACACCCACATGGTACCCATGTATACATGCAGATAACGCATTCATACACATAAATAAAATAAACAAAACATTGTAAATGTTTAAAAGCAAAATGACATGAAGTATATAGAGTATAATTCTTCATGCTTTAATTTGTCAAAATTATGTATTTATGCATATCTTAAGATATTTATTCTCAGTATTTTTCAAACTTTACATACACATTTATATGCACATGCATATATATTCTGATAAAACTAGGAGAATACTTCAATTAGTTTTTCATCAAATTGCTGAAGAAAATAATTACTGGGGTAGGGATTCTTCTGAAACCATTAAGAAAAATGCTTTTAATAAATTGTGCCTTTGCTCTCAGAGTGTGTGAGGCATCTGATAGTGGTGAAATAATCTTTCAATTCTAAGCCTGTCAGTGATTTGTGACTGTTCGTGTGCAGACCTGCAGGTGAAAACCTTCATTGGGTCTCGTGAAATTTTACCCTCTGTTCCTAGAGATGCCCTTCTGCCATTGGTTTCACAATTCTCACCGCTGATGCCTCGTTCTCTAGTTTATTTCCTTTCCCTGTAAGGTGGATGCTTTGCTACCTTTAGTGTTTTTAAAATTCCATCTTTCTTTTGGTTCCCATGTTTATTTCTTTTGTGAGAGGAAAAGTACCTCATTTACCTCATTGGGGTTTTCAAGTTGTTTGATTTCCAGCAGAATCATTTTTAAAATATAGGGAGATTTCATTGCCTTTGGGAGGTGTTGTTCTCTGATGTGTTCACTTTGGATCTCTGCGATTTAAGACTCATGCATGCGTGTGCACTTGCGTCACGTGTGTGTGTGTGTGTGTGTTGTCTGTCTGTCTGTGTATCTGTGTATCACACTGAGCTCTTGAAGTTCAAATCAAGGAGAAGCAGCAACAAAAGTTGCTTTCTAAGAAGAGAGTGTGCCCAAGTACAAAGTAGAACTCTAGGTGTTCATTTTATATTTTTATTTGATGGAATTTAGGGCTATCGAAATGGCTGCAAAAAATCACTTGTCTAAAGGAAATGTAGATAGAGAAAATATTTGAGAACATGGCTGGTCGCACAAACCCAACAGACTCCTCCCCGTGCACCACATGGCTCAGATCAAAGCATCCCCTGACTTGATCCCAGTGGCCAGATCATTACTTATCGATTGGAACCCCACTGGAGGGTTAACCCTTTGTTGCCCATGGTCACTCTCAAGCTTGCTGTCAGTAGCTTGAGAAATACATACTTCGTACCACCACAAGTTAATTCTAAGCTACTCATCGGTGTGGGTATATTTACCCTGAAAAATACCTTTTAGGATTGCACATTATTATTTGCAATAGTTTTTGCTGGATAAGATTATTTTTCTTTTAAAAGAGAACACTTGGATTCTGTTAAAGCTGTCCTCATAGAGAGGAGGATAGGAAGAAATGTGAACTGTCCCTGTGTGGAAAATACGAGCACTGCAAATCCAGTACAGGTTTTCCAGTTCGTACTATGGACGCTCAGGAAAGTATGGCGGTTTTTGCAGCGGCCTTCGCTGTCCTGGTAGAGGGCTTTGCTTCAAACAAAAACCTGTCAAATACTTTTCACACGTGGAGGTAGGTTCCTAACATCAGGCAATTATAACTCAATGTGTTTAGAACATAATCTTCCAGCTCATAGCTTAACTCTTGCTTTAAAAAATTTTTTTAAAGCAGGATTAATTAGATTCCATGGGGAATGACATGTACGATTTGTAACATGCTCCGTGGGCCTCGTGGACTCTCTGGTGTCCGGGCTGTGTTTCACTCACTCTCTGACCTTTCGTGTTTTCTTGCAGCTTGTCCCATGAGGAGCATCCCCACAGCCATCCTCTCTACGGACATGGCGTATGCAAGTGGCCAGGATGTGAAGCAGTCTGTGACGACTTCCCAGCCTTTCTAAAGTAAGGATTATCTGCCATGTCTTCTCTGTAGCACGGCTGCCCCATCTGCTGTCTGTCCTTTGTCCACCAGCTTGCCTTCCTCTTGGAGAGTGCCACACAGCCCTTCAGAGGGTGGCCTCTGAATAACCGTCATATGAAGTTAGCTCATCCCTGGAGGGCTGTCCCCTAAAGGGAAGGAGACTTAATGGAAGACACCAATAGCACTGATAGAGAGAGAAACCCAGGGTCGCCCTTCAGTTATGTCAGTGACTGGTTCTGTCTAGTTCAGTGGCTGGGCCCCTTCTTTGGCATGGGATCCTGAGACAGTGCCACCATCTTGGTTTCTTATCTCTTTGTATGGAGTGGCTTCTGTTTAGATCACTCTCTTTCCCCCCAGGAGAAGTGGGGGAATGTATGATGTAAACTCAGACTGTCTCATCCCAAACTGTGGTGCTGATAGTCTTTCCCAAAACGGGCTGCTCATCTTCTCCATTTGACGTGGATGTCTGTGCCTCTCATCTTTGAATTACTTCCCTCCCTTGTGCTGTCCAATCAGCTAGAAATCTGACCCAGCTACCCTGCGTTCTTGGCACCACTTCTCTATAACACGTTGAATCCTTAACTAATCAATGTACTGAATACAGTGGTCTTAGTGTTTTGTTGCTGTGAAAAGATGCCATGACCAAGTCAACTCTTAAAACATTTAATTAGGGGGCTTGCTTACAATGTTAGAAGGTTAGTCCATGATCAAAATGGCAGAGAGCAGATGGGCATGGCGCTGGAGCAGTAGCTGAGACCTTTACATCACAATCTGCAGGCAGCAGGCAGAGAGACACTGGGCCTCTTGTGGCTTATACCCTCACTGACTCACCTCCAACAAGACCGCATCTCCCAATATTTCTTAAACAATTCCACTAGCTGGGGACCAAACAGCGAAATACATGAGCCTACAGGGGCCATTCTGATTGAAGTCACTGCAATAGTTATCACCTTCTATTTAGCATGTATCACATGTTGCTTCTGTACATTGGGTCACATGATGGTTTCTCTGGGCTGAGAGCATCCTTTATGGGCCAGGTCTTTATGGGCCAGATACAAACATTGTGATGCAGGCATCCTCTAGAGATACTGCAGGTAGTTTTCTGTGAATATTTCATTATTATATCAATGCATAGTAGGGTTTGAACTTATTATATAGCTTCTCAGATGGTATTCTTCACTTCAAGCGTATTCTGTGGTCAGTGTACATTTAGGTCATGCCCAAAAGAGCTAGTATCAGCATCAAGAGCAGCAACAATTGTCTCCGATTACATTATTAGCATTTAGATGAGTGATGCTGGCTCTGTTATCTGTGTAGCCCCTTCATGGAATCTGTTTTGTTACCACCCTATCAATGCCTAATCGTATTTATCCAATGAGAGAAAAAGAGCTGGGCAGAGCATGCTTGAAATTCTGATTTTCCCCATCTGCACCAATGCTAAGTAAATACTGATTCCACTCTTCTGTAGAATGTCTGACAAGCATCAGCCAACATGATTTATGGTTATAAAATCTTGAACTATAAAATTGTTGTCATCACTTGTGTGGCATGTATCAATTCTAGGGACAGAAAATGCGTTGCCAGTTCCCTAGTTTGACCCATTTAAAAAGTTTCATTAAGAGTCCAAGTATTTCTAACCTAATAATCTTTAAGTCATAGATTCATGTGTTATGAGCTGGCAGTTAAGATATGGCTAGGCCTCAGCATCCAGAAAGAGTGAATGATTCAAACCACTTCTAAAGAAAAAAGAAAAAAAAAAAAGCAAAGATCACTTGAATTGAGGCCTGCATTTCCCTCCTACAAACAAGAAGCCCGTTCACTTCTCAGGATGTTAGGAGCCTGACTCTGAGTTGGAAGCCATCTCTCCAGCCTTTATTGTGGTTTTGCACATGGCATGACATGCTCCTGGTTCCTGTTTGCGCAGCGGAACTGGAGTGCCCACTATCAGCTTGCAACACTGCTTGCTTATTTTCTACTGTTTGCTTATGTGCTAGTATTTTTCAGAAGACTTTGTTTGCAAGTTGCACACACATGACTTGAGTTGATATAAGAAAAAGAATAAAGGCAGGGGTGAAAGTGAGCCAGTATAGAGCGGAACTCCTGGAGCACTGCTAACGCCAGCCATGTCAGGATCCAAGTGGCTGACCGGGGTTAAAGGGGTGCTGCAGTTTGGGGTTCCCATTAGTTTGGTATTTCTCTGTTGCCTTCATCCTTGAGACTTTTCTAACTGGAACTGGAGAACACAGGTTTGCATTTCATGGGATTATGAATCCCACATTGCAGGATTTTCCCCCCATTCTCAGAAAAGCCTTGTGCAGACTACCATTGGTTCAGTTTTAAGCCGAGCTCAATCACATTCTCTCCTCTAGAGCAAAGGGATTCACACACGTGATCTGTCTTGAAATGGGGATGAGAGATGGGGTTCTAGAAAACAAAAGTGAGTCTTCCCACGGAAGAAGCCCCCATGAATTCAACTTTACTGAGTTCGCAACTCAAGATCTCAATTTTCCTTCTTTTCCAGCAAGATTGTAATACTTGGGATTGAGGCTGATCTTTAGGCTCAGACTCTTGCCTAATGAAGTGGAACACAAGTTGGTCATCTTGGGGACTTTCAGCAGCATGTGTGTGCTCAGCCCCAAAGAGAAATACAGTGGGTCTAGGGAAAGTCTTCTTGCACTTCCAGTGAAAGCCTTGTGGTTTCCTTGAACTCTTGACACTGTTATCAGAGAACGTTAGTTCCAGCATTTCTCTTCAGATTGCTGGATTGGAAGGCTCTGGAAGAATCTCCTTGGCTCTACTTGCCCATAAGCCTCCTCCATTTTTACAAGTTATTTTTTATGGTGTAAGCAAATTGACACTAGTCACTTCGTAATAATGTATAATTAAACAACTTTAAGTATGCAGCAGGCATGGTTTCAGATATGTAATAATACATATTAACTCATTGAATCCTCACAGCTACCTGAGAAAATGTCATAGTAGCATTTTGAACATACAGTTAAGTTGATAAAGGAGCAGAGAGTTTGAGTGATTTACCCAAAGTCCCCCAAGTCACTGTGACTTCTGGTTGCAGAGTCTTGTTCTCCACTCTCACACTGTGCTACCTGGGAGAGACTAGACTTTTTTAAATTAGAAAATTACTTTCTACTTAAGGCAGTGGATGTGAAAAAAGTCTTAAAGGTGGGTGAGGAATGGAGCCCCCTTTGAGAGTAGTCATTTGTGTAGTTAGGATGCATCTCAGCCCCTTTTAGCATGTGTACTTCTGCATATCAGTAACATCTCTTAGAAGGTAGGCTCCAAGGGCTTATCATAGGAAGTGCCTAGCCCTTAATAAGCTCTCTATAAACATGGACACGTCCCATCTACTTAGGTGTGTTTTAGGAGCAATAATTTTAAATATGCAGAAATTCCTGACCTTGTATTTCAAGAAGGCACTGATGGCTGTTCTCTGAAATAAATGTAAAAAGTTGCCTACAGTCCAGTCCTAAGGGTGGTGTGGCATTATGGAGAGTTAATACATTAGGCCTTCCTGGCCTTCTGAGTCCTGTCCCTCCTGTCAGTGAGGAAGAAGCATGCCCTATGCCCCTCATGCTAGCTGCATGTGGCCTCTGACCTAGGGTCACGTTTTTGCATCCACCCTGTATTTTCCAGCTGAACAGTGCTTTGTGGGTCCTCAACTCCTTAGGCTGGGTAGCCAGGGGAATGTGTGTGGGAGGGCCTGTAATTTCCCCCACACCCACAGGCTTTAAGCTCCTGGTTCTGGGGTTCTCCAACCTAGCTTTTCAGGTTTGGTGTTGGAAGGGAACATGATGCTTAGTTCCTGTTCTCCAGCCAATGAGTGACTCCAGGTGGTAGGTGTAATTTTCACAGTGGTCAGAAGTGCTTCAGGATACAACGCCAGTTAGACAAAGAAGTATCACTGTCCACGGCGAAAGGAGACTCACAGGCAAAGGCAGAGGTGTGTTTTCCTCCTCTTGATGAAGACGTATGCGAGTTATGGAAAATGAAAACCAGAGACTTAACTTGACACCTTCACCACGGGGTTGTCCCTAAGGTGAGGGCGATCACAGCACCATTAATTTCAGAGACAAACACTGTTCAAAAGAGCTTGCTGTTGTCTTCCTCTCCAGCCAGCAGAGACCTTGCTTATGCTCTGCTAGTTTTAGCACTGGGCTCTGTGTTCTCTCTTTCTTAAACCTCCCCTCCCATAGCTGTCACTTGACTGGATATTGTTGGGGTTTACTGATGCCAGCAGGTGCTCCTGCTCGCTCTAATGTCATCCCAGCCGGCTTTGCTCTGATTTCTTCCAGGAACAGGGAATGAAAGCAAACCCATGGCCTTCCAGGAGGGGAAGCCTGGCGCTGTGGAGAAACACGGTAGACAAGAAGGTTCTGAGGCATGGCCATACTCTATTTTCTAATTTGAGTGTGCAGCCAGATCAGGCAGCACGTTCAGAAATGCTTGCCAGGAGTATTTTCTTTTTCCCTTAAGCCTCAGCCCCACCCACCCTGTGCCTTGCTTTGGAGATAGAACCCAGGGCCTGGGCCAGCACCCTACTAGACCCTGAGTGACACCCCTTAAATCCCTACTTAGTCTTCCATTTGATTTCATCACTTTGTATACTTGCATAGTATTCCATTTGAAAAGAATGTTTTCCCCCTTTTTGGTTATTTTCCATATAGAAAAGCTCCATGCAGACAAAGGCAAACAAAACAAAAATGCCTCTAGCAAGTAAGTCAGATGTATGTAATTTATCAAAGCCAGAAGAAGCTTTCTATGGGTTTCTAAGGTAAGACATGAGAACAGCATCAAAGAGAAAGCCCAGAGATTGGACTTTGAGCCTTTCCTGAGGTTGAGGGCTGCAGACAGAACAAGATGGTTCTTTGGTAAATTGCTTAAAGGAAAAAAACATTTGTTTTCAGTGAATTTTACTTTTTAAAACTTGGGAGAGTTGCATGTGAAAGAAACTAAGTGTGTTCTG